ATGTTTATATGTGGCAGCCAGAGGTCAAAGCTGAGGGTACTCCTCTACCACTGTCCACCTTTTCACGACAGGGGTCTCACTGAATCTGGAGCTTGTCATTTTGACCAGACTAGCTGGCTAGTGAACCACTGGGATTAGTCTACCCTGTCCCCACCCCAAATCTGGGGTTACAGGTGCAGGCCACCAAGCCCAGCATTTATGTGGGTTCTGCTGTAAGCTGCCATATGGAGAGGTCATAGGAAAAGGAACCAAAGACAAGCAAAGCATATGAGACAAGGCTTGGGGATATGCACCAGAAAGGCTCCTACGTGTAACACAAGCATTCCAGAAGGACGGTGGGGAGGGTGACTAACTGCCAAAAGTATAAATAATAAAATTTGTATTTTAAAATGGCAGGATCAATACATTTTGCCTCCCGTTCTTCCTTACTAGTCTTTAGGATGATACTAAGGCAAGCACATAATCAAAGCAAACAACATGTGTGTGCGAGGCCAACAAAACACCAGAAGGCACTCTGGGTACAAGAGGGATCTTAGTATTCTTGGAAGACAAAATAACAATAAAAATGTTGGACATTAAAGCAAAATAGAGAACAGGTAGAATATTCACATACAAGCTGCTGTAAGTCAGGTAGTCTGTTTGCCCAGGTCTATGGACTAATAATGATAATTAGTCATTTCCTACACACACCCAATAGCACGTCAAAAGAATAGCTGAGGGTCCCCCTCAGGCAAGGGGAAAAGAGATGACTCAGCAGGGAGGGGTGTGACTCCAAGCCTAAGAACCTAAATTGCATCCTGGTAAACACAGAGAACCAACTCCTGTAAGTTGTCTTCTGACCTCCATGTGTACCCCCACACATACACTCACACACACACACACCAGGCACAATAAACAGGGTAACGGAGTCGCCAGAAGAGAAGTGAACAGGTGCTTTTGAGGCTCGCTCATGGGACGATGGCTCTCAGAGCAGACCTGCCCTGCTGTAAGTGTTGTGACACACAGGATGGGGTACACTGGCTCCCTCCCTCCCGCAGGAGCCCAGGCCCCAGAATTCACGGAATGAGAGTTCCAAGTGTTGGCAGCACTCGGATGTTCAGGTGACACCATCTCTGTACCCATCCCAGCTGTGGCCAAGAAATTCCATGAACATAAAGAAGTGTAATCTGAATTTGCCTCAGAGGGAAATCTATAGCTATCATTGTGAAATAAAGGGTCCCTGAAAACCTCTAGAAAACATAGACTGCCCTTCCAGAACAATAAACAGATTCACATGAAAACTGGCATCAATAAACCAGTATACAAACATTGGAAAAGACCCTTTCCAGTTCTCTTGTATGAAATCAGAACGAAGCCATTTTAAGACTTCCAGGTACCTTTCCCAAGTGAGTTACCTGAGCCTTTTCTTTTGCTAAACAAGGATAAAAACTCGGGATAACATCTAGTCACCAGGGTCTTGGATTCCAGAGAGCTATTACCTTCTGTGGCAAAAGTGACTTCACAGGTTGGTAGGACTCATGAGGTAGAAACAGGTTGTCTGGGTAGCTTAGATGTAGTCACAAGAATCCTTCAAATGCAGAGAGGGGAGGAAGAGAAGGCAATATGGCGGCAGAAGCAGGTTGAAGGGTGCTTTGTTGCTGTTTTTGTGTTCTGGGTCCCCACTAACTCCACTCAGCATGTCCAGACACATTGTCAGTGACTCTCTTATGGCTAATATTTATTACGTAAATATGCCACATTTTCTTTTCCCATCAATTAACAATGAACTGATGACATTTGGTTTCTTGTTTTTTTTTTTTGTTTGTTTGTTTGTTTTGTTTCTTTTTCAAGGCAGGGTTTGTTTCTCTGTAATAGCCCTGGCTCTTCTGGAACTCTCTTTGTAGACCAGGCTGGCCTCAAAGTTAAAAAGATCCCCCTACCTCTGCCTCTGCCTCCCAAGTGCTGGTGTTAAAGGCCTGAGCCACTTGGCCTGGCTGAACTGTTGGCATTTTACATTTTTAAACTTATTGGTGTGTGCATGCATGTACCATGAAGGGGGAACAACTTTCAGGAGGCGGGTGTGAGTTCTGGAATTGAACTCTATCCTGAGATATCGCGCCGTGACCATACATTTCTGATGACAAAGTTTGCCATCCAGAAGTGACAGCAATACCAGCGCTGCCATGTGTGCCCGAACATATGCTATTCCTGTCGTTAGCCATGCTGGGGATTGAACTCACACAACAGGAGTGATGGGCAAACGCTGAAGCTATAATCTAGCCAGATGGTGGCATTTCTGAAATACCTTAACCGTTAATTCTGAGTTTTGTATCTGAAAATGCCTTCATTTTTGTTTGTATCTTTGCTTTTTTCTTATTTTAAGATAGTGTCCCACTGTGTAGCCCAGGATAGCCTGGAACTTATGGTATTCCTGCCTCAACCTCTTTTGTTCTTTGATTTCGGTATACACTCCCACAATAGCTTATTTTTAATGGATGGTTTTGTAAATATAGAATTACGCGTCAACGTGGTTTTTCCTTCAAATATCTTAAGTTTAGCCTTCTATTTTACTTAAATTTGCTATTTTATTGAAAACTTAGCTCTCATCTGTATTTTTGTTTCATTGTTTTTCAAGATAAATTTTCTTTTTTCTTTAAAACATTTATTTATTTATTTATTTATTTATTTATTTATTTATTTATTTATTTATTATATATGCAGTATTCTGCCTGCATGCACGCTTGCAGGCCAGAAGAGGGCACCAGATCTCATTACAGATGGGTGTGAGCCACCCTGTGGTTACTGGGAATTGAACTCAGGACCTTTAGAAAGCAGGCAGTGCTCTTAACCACTGAGCCATCTCTCCAGCCCTCAAGATAGATTTTCTTATTCAGGCCCAGTGGCTTCTGTCTGTTATCTCATCACTCAGGATGTTGAGGCAGGAGCATCACCATGAGTTAAAGGCCAACTTAGTCAATTAGTGATCAGCCTGAGCTAGAGTGAAAATCTGTCTCAAAATAATAATAATAAAAAGAAGAAGAATGAATAAGAATGATTAAACATTTTTCTGTGCTTTCAAAGTGTTTTTCCATCTTTGGATCTAAAGATGTACCTACTTAAGATTTTATTTGTTATTTGTGTTATCCTACCTAGATTTATCCAACTCATTGCATTTATACGTCATGACTATCATCCACAAGTTTGAGGGGTATTGTATTTCTCTGGATGTATTCTGTCCCACTCTATCTTGTCTTTTTCTTATAGCTTTTCTCTTCCCAATACCTACTTGTCTCTCCTTAAATCTGATCATTTTTATAGTTTCATTTTGATTCCACTTTTGTATTCCTTTTGTCCATACGAGATTTCAGCCAGATTTATCTGTCTGTTTATTTAGACAGAGTCTCACTGTGTATCCTAGGTCTGCCCAAATCTCCCAAGTACTGGGATTATAGGGGTGTGTACCACACTGGCTATCTAACCCATGTTTTAAATATTTATTATTTTATGTGTAGATGTTTTGCCTGCACGTATTATGTGCACCATGTGTGTCTGTATATTTTTATATGCATCACATACATGCCTAGTGCCTCCGGAGGTCAGAAGAGGGCATCAGATTCCCCTGGGACTGGAGGTACACACAGGCAATCATGAGCCACCATGTGGATGCTGGGAATTGAACCTGAACCCTGTGAAGAGCAGCTAGTGCTCTTAACCACCGGGAAATCTCTCTATCCCCTCTACTCATTTTTTTTAAAATTTGTATGGGTGTTTTGACAGCATGTATGTCCGTGTACACGTATGCCATGTGCATGTCTGGTGCCCACAGAGACCAGAAGAGGAAACTGACTCCTCTGGGACTGGAGTTATATATGGTTGAGAACTGTCCTGTGGGTGCTGGGAATTAAACCTAGGTCCTCTGGAAGAGTAGCCAGTGCTCTTCCTGAGCCATTTTTTTAGCCCCCATGTAGTTGATTTTTAATTAGACTTTGAAGTTTGAAACTGGAATCTCTGACTTGTTTCAATATTTTCTATGATTTATTGATATATGCCACATGTTAACTCTTGGTATACACTGGTAAGATCTACTTTTGACACATTCTTTTTTTACCTTTTGTGTCATTTTGTTTGAGGAGAATGTCACATCACCCAAATGGGTGGTTGGGTTGGATTGTAGTTTTTAGTTTTTCAGGACTTTATTTTTAATTGGGTTTGATTTTGGATTAGTGGGGATTAAAGTCAGGGCCTCAAACATGTCAGGCAAATACTCTAACCCTGAGTTCTAGCCTTTTTTTACTTTGGATTTTTAGTGCTTAAAAGGAAGTTTGTATATGATTTTAAATATTGCAATCCTACTCTAGTAAATTGGTGTCTGCTGTTTGTCAGGCTGCCTTCCTCTTTCCTCCCTAGCTTTTGTGTCGTGGTAGGCTTTCTTTGCTCTCGTTGGCCCTGGGGGTTTAGAAATTAGCCTACATTTAACTTAATTAGTAAGTGTTTCCAAATGAAAGGGAAACGAGTCTGTTTCTTTGCTGACAAGGACAAGCGACTGAGTCACGGACATCTCCACTCTGTTCCCCCGGCCCACAGGAATACTTTGGGCTTTAGTATCAAGCAATTATTATTGTCTCTCTTTTAAACATCTTTACAAAATGCTTTTCACATTTCATTTTCTTGTATGTAGCTGTGTCATCTCTGTTAAAGCGATCACCCATCAAGTTTATGATGACGGTTTACAGTGTCTGTCCCTTTCTTAATAACATGTCTCCTCCGTATCTAAGGTTTTCACTTCTGTTGTCTTATGGATATTACAGTATTTATTTAATATTTAAAGATGTGCATGTATCTGAATATTTACATATCTAAAAATGTTTATTAAATTATATTCATCTAACATGTTTTATAAATATATTTATAAAATGTATATATGTATGCAAATTTCATTCTTCAGTATGCTGCAAAAATTAAAAATTAGAGGGAGTAATAAACTAAGAAATGTTTGCTATTTGATATTGATTAAATAGAATTCTTTCCAGTCATAACTATAGAATAACAATTTTAACACTTTTGCTTCATAACAAAAGTACAAGTAATATTAATCTTTTTATATCTCTCTTTCTATAGTTGTAATTATAGAAAAAACCTAGATCATATAAAGCAAGCATTATCATGTTTATATTTGATATCAATTTTGGTTTGTCAATTAAATACTGACAAGCCAACTAGGTGTCAGTTTTGTAAGTTTTTTTTAATGTAATTTCTTAGTCTATTGGTAAGTTTTTAAAAGAAGCGTAATCTTGGTGTGTTTTAGTCACTCCATGGATTCCTGTGGGCAGCTCAGAGCAGAAGACAAGCAGTCGGTGATGAACAGGGTGCAGAAGAAGTTCTGGAAGACTAAACAGGTCTTCATCAAAGCCACAGGAAAGAAGGAGGACGAGCATGTGGTTGCATCAGACGCAGAACTGGATGCTAAGCTAGAGGTAAGTGTGGAGACTGTGTACTGTGTGGGACTCCAAGGGAGATTGTCGCAAACATGCACACCAAGGAGTTTAAGGAGCGTCTTAGGGTTGCTGCAGCTGTGATGAAACACCATGACCAAGAGCAAGTTGGGGAGGAGAGATTTGACTTAGACTTCCATATTCTCTTCCACATCTGTAGTCCGTCACTGAAGGAAGTCAGAACAGAAACCCAGACAGGGAAGGGTCCTCAGGCTGAGCTACTTACTGGCTTGTTCCCCTTGGCTTGCTCAGCCAGCTTTCCTACAGAATTCAGGAATGCCAGCCCAGGGATGGCTCCACCCACAGTGGAGAAGTCCTGTCTTGAAAAAGCAGGAAAGGAAATGAAGCATTTGCTATTTATTTGTGTTGCAGAGTAATCCTTGTGATTCATGTGTGGGGACGTGAGCAGGCTGCTGTAGCAACACTCAGAACTGTTTGCACACACATTCCCACAGAAGGAACTATTTCTGTGTTTTATATGGTTAGGCACTCTAGAACATTTTATTGTAATGCTGACCATTACACATATTGGCGATCAGCCATGTTCTTTCTCCCATATTTGTACGATTTTTCTTAAAAACTGAAAAATTTCTAGGCTTGATGGCTCATATATAATCCCTAGCACTTGGGAGTTGGAGGCAGGAGGATGAGGAACTTAACGTCATCCTCGGCTAGCTAGTGAGCTCAAGGCCATCCTGGGCTGCATAAGTCCCCCCATCTCCAAAAAACATAAGTAAAAAGTAAAATTCATTGTGAAAATAACATACAGTAGTAGGAAGTCTTGCAGGACTGTGGGAACCTCCTGCCGTAACCACCTCATCTTGGGCAGTCTGTTTGTATCATTTTGTAATCTTTCATGCATTGAAAATTGATTTTTGTTTTTTATTTAGTTTACATGTATGGTGAGTGTTTTGCCTCCATGTGTGTGTCTTTGCACCACGTGCCTGGGGAAGCCAGAAGAGGGCATCAGAACCCCTGGAACTGAAGTTACAGATGGTGCTGGGAGGTGAACCGGGGTCCTCTGGAAGAGCAGCCAGTTTTCTGTTTGTTTTCAACTGCTGAGCCATCTCTCTAGCCCCTGAAAATTTAGTTTTAAATGGCCATGACCAGATGCCAAATCTCAATCAAGCACATCTAAAGTTATTATTATTCCTCTAGCGACTCTTATAAATACTCCTCAGGTTTAATCACACATCAGCAGTGAAGCTCCCTAGTGAGGCTGAGAACGTAATAATCTGAGGGTGGAGCTTCCATCTAGAAACGTCAGGGTCCTTCGGACAGTTCACGGAATTTCTTCAGCTTAAGACCGGGTAAGAGGAGATCACTCTGAAATCCACATAGGAAAGTTTATGTATGAAGAGTTGCACCAGGTATATGGCTTCATCTTGTGGGCTTAACTTTGAAGTCAGAGTTCAACAGATATTTTCTTAATTTTCTGTTTCTGATTAACTACAGTAGCAAAGAGGGGAAATTCCAAACAAAAATAACGCAAAAGCAAGCTTTTGTAATTTTAATTATTTTCAAATAATTTTCTTTTTTCCTTTTGGTAGTTCTGGGTTGAACCCCATGCGTGGGAGGCAAGTGCTCGACCACTAAGCCACATCCCCAGCATTTTCCAAAAGCAGATTGTATTTGATGTCATGATATTCTTTTTATTCTTAACTCATTTTAACTGATACATAAAAACATAAGAGTTGTACACATTAATGGAAGAGACGGCTGGAGAGAACTCAGCAGTCAAGAGCACCGGCTGCTTTGCAGAGGACCCAGGTTTGATTCCTAGCACCCACAGTCTCGGGATCAGACACCCTCTTGTGGCCTGCAGTAGCACCAGGCATGCGTGTGGCTAGAGACACACCTTCGGACAAAACACATAACACGTAAAAATAAAGATAAATGAATCTTTTTATAAAGTGGATACCATGAAACCTTCCATCCATATATCTGATAGTAGTTAATGTTTTAAATAGTTACACAGCTCAAACATGTGGTGTTTCTTTATGGTGAGAACTTCCAGAATTCTTGCCACTTTTAGATTTTATACTACATTGTGTCATCTTGTCTCAAACAAAGCACAGCAGAAGTTAAACTTAAAAGTTGAAAAGAATTGCTATAAACTTGCATGTGCTGCTTCACGTATGGTGGCTATGTGTGACCACAGTGTAGGGCTCCTCCCCCTTCACCGCCATCACAGGCTGTACCACTACGCCTGTCCCATACATTCTTTTTGTTACCGTCATTTTGTTTTTGTTTTTTTGAGACAGGATTTCTCGGTGTAGCCCTGGCTGTCCTGGAACTCACTCAGTAGACCAGGCTGCCTCTGCCTCCGTAGTGCTGGGATTAAAAGCATCTGCCACCACTGCCCAGCCCAATACATCATTTTTTTATAGTAAACTTATTGGGCTGTTTTGCTTTGACACTATTAGAAAAAGCCCCATATTGAGCATCACCTGTTTCTAAAGTGCTCTTTTTCCTGTGTTGTTGAAATTGTTTATATTGTATGTAACTTTCTCGTGTTCGGATAATTGGGAGCAGAAGGGAAAACAAATTCTATAGATAAATTCCACACATTTATCTCTTTTTATCCAGTATTCACGGGGAAAATTTAAATGTGCTTTCTATATCAGTAATAAAACTAAGCCTGAAGTACATCCCAGTCAATAAAAATAGACATAGTATTTATGAAATGGACATAATAACATATGCTTAAGAGAGGTACATCACAGCCAAGAAAATTGACATAATTTATGAAGTATACCCAATAGATACTTTTATGCAAATGTTCTCATTTTGAAGTGCTAAATGTTGTATTTGTTTATTGTTCTTTAAATTGTCCTAATAAAATTTATTTTTCAAGGTTTTTCACTCCATCCAGGAGACATGCAATGAACTTCTGAAGATAGTTGAGAAATATCAGCTAAGACTCAATGGTATGACATCATAACTATCCGATAATTCCCATTTAAAATAATAATTGGTATGCATTTTTGAAAATGAGCACTTAATGGTAAAGTAGTTGTTTATAAAGCTATTTAGTGAGGTTTTATTTAAAATTTTAAAAATATGAATACTGACAGTGACCTGTTCTCAAATCCCCAGGGTCCATCTTTTCCTTTTTACTTCATTAAATCCCTTAACACAGACTCACTTTCTTCTCTGGTTTTACTCTTGGTGAACTTTAAGGTTTGTTCCATCTTTCAAAACCTCTTTTGGCCCCTGCAGATTTTACAATCAGTACCTCATTCTTTTTTGTTTTTTTCTCCCACAGGAACGTTATGATAATGTTGTCTGTATGCTCTGTAGCCCAAGCTGGCCTGAAACCCTCCTGCCTCTGCCTTCCTGAACGCTCGGTTTCCAGGCAGATCCCCCCACACCAGGCTTTTTTCCTTCTGCTCTTTCCTCTCCTCCAGCAGCTCTTGTCAAGGTCACAGGAAGGAAAAGCCAGTTCTCATCCCCACGGCTGATTACCCCTCCTCAGTTCACCTCCTTTACTCCGCTCCCACAAGCCCACCCCGCTGTGGTCTTCCTCTCCAACTTCATCCAGCATCCTGCCTTTGGCGGGCTCTTCTCTGTCCCCCACCACTTCCGGTTGGAACTTCGCCATTGAATTTCTTTCTCTACTTCAATTAGAGTGGCTTACTAGATGTGGCTACCTCTCTGACCTCATGTCCTGAAACCCTTGCACTGAATTGTGTCGCTCTCTTTCACGACAGGCACATCTGCCTCATATGCTCCCTAACTTTCCTATAACTCCCCTGTGCTCTTAGAATATTCAGCATTCTGTATATTCTATCTATTGCTTGGTTTTTTATATTTATTTATTTATTATGTATACAATATTCTGTCTGCGTGTATGCTGCAGGCCAGAAGAGGGCACCAGACCTCATTACAGATGGTTGTGAGCCACCATGTGGTTGCTGGGAATTGAACTCTTAACCACTGAGCCATCTCTCCAGCCCCTCTATTGCTTGTTTTTACACCTAGAATGTGCTCTTCTTTTAACTTTCCTATTATTTACTAATTACTTCTTGCTTGAGGTCAGGTTATACACATGTCAGGGCATGCGGTCAGAGGACACTTTGTGAGAGCCAATTCTTTCTTTCCATCATGTGGACTCTGGGGACCAAGCTCAGGTCACAGGCTTGGGGACAAGTGCCATTACCCTCTGAGCCACTGTGCTCAATCTGATAATGCAGGAACTGGTTTTGTTTACTTGTGTGTTCCCAAACCTTAAAAAACAATGTCTAGCATGTAGTCAGTGTTCAGTAAATATTTTCTCATTAATAAATGCTTTCTTGTCTATGGGTGACTCTCTCCTGCCCCCCAGCACTCAGGAGGTTTGAGTAGGAGGATCACTCTTGAGTGAGAGGAGAGTGTGGGCCAGCCAGGTCAGTCTGGGTCACAATAACACACTGCCTTAAAAAAAAAAAAAAAACTATTTTCCAAAGCTGTAAGTCAAGTTTAACGTTTATAATCAAAACTCATAGTGAAGAAAAACTCAATATGGCATAATTAAGGGAAGTTGTTTTTGTGTGTGTGAATATGTCATGCATTCTATATGTGTGCTTTTCCCAAGAAAATAGTTGAAGAACTTTCTGTAGCAAAATTAAAAAATGATACAAAAAGCAAGAACAAAGGAAACGTAGGGCCAGGTTACTAAGGGTCAAAAACACCAAGCTGTAAAAGGCTGCCATGACCACTGGACCATCAGAGTCCACTGAAATAGAAATGTCTAGAAACATTGGCAAGTTTGTGTGCCTTCAACTTTTCCATGAAATCACTGGACCTTTCAGCATCTTCATGGCATGTCAGAGTAAGGAAGAGACCATAAGTACAGGCTTCATTGTGTACCTTCTCTGCAAACATGTGGTGTCTTGAAGACTCCTATACTCACAGGTCTTCTGCTGGCCGTACTATCAGACAGATACAGCAGGTTAGGGCCCCGGAATGAGCCTGTCAGAGTGGGGTGTCTGTTGACGCTGGCAGGCTGGTCCCAGCACAAAAGCAGCACAGGTTGGGCTTCACCTGCCCCTTTCAGCATCCATAAAGGTAAGACTTGGCAATGATTTATGCTCTCTTTATACCTAAAACGAGTGTCCTGTGTTCCCAGAGAGCTTTAAATCCTCACACAAAAGTGACGATTTTCCCTAATATTAAAGTTATGAGCCATAGAAAATTCATACCTCTCAAGCAATTAGAATGTTAACATTATTCCTGAATGAAAATGAGGACATGACCACTCCTAGGTACGACTGAGAAGGTTTTTATTGTAAATATGAGGGAGAGCACAGCCAGAGACATCTGGAAGAGTCCAGGCTGAATGGGTCAGCAGACTGAACCAGGTCATGGGGGTGGGGGTAGAAGAGAGAGGGCAAACGATGAACAGAAGCACAGCCCAGAGAAGAACCAAGAGCATATATAGGAAAAGACACCAGCGGTAAGGGAGCCAGGCAGGGGGTGTTGTGAGAAGTGCTGAGAGAGGTATCCAGTGTCTGTTTTGATGCACGAATCGTCAATCGCACCTCACTTAGCCATTTGTCCTGGGCTCCCATTCCAGCCGTTCGTTCATGATAGGGGTCAGCACAATCTCTAACTGTAACTACTCAATCTGTAACGACTGTTGAGCTGAAATGGGGTGTCATTATCGGGGCCCAGGAAGACAGGAATGTTGGTCAAAGGACAGAGAGGGAGAGGGAAGTGCAGGCTTGAGGACATCTGTTGGGTTTGGGTTTTTTTTTTTTTAATTGTTCCTGTTTTGTTTTTTGCTTTTTGGCTTGCTGCCCAGGTTATGCGGGACCACCTGGGGCTAGTGAAATGCAGGCTGCTTTGAAGCAGCCTGGGATGCAGGTTCTGCAACACCCACAGCTGCTGACACATTGCAAGCAATATTGAAGCAGTTTGCAATTTCAGTTGATTGGAAATCTGCTGGATAGAGAGAGACAAGGGACAGAAAGTAAAGTTAGGGAGTTTAGGATAAAATTTATATATTGGGTGTACTCTTGACACTTCTAGGCCTGTGGGTCCTGGTAACTGGAGGAAGGGAGGAATTCCAAGTCAAGAGGAAGGGGTAGGGGGAAAGCTTAGGCTATTGATTGACAGGAGTACTTACCTGGAGTCCATTTGGTTTGTGAGAGGCATATCCGAGTCTCATGACTCCCTGAAGCTTACAAGAATTTCTTAAGTTTAAAAAAGAAATAAAGTTTTAGACATCTAAGCACATCTACTCTTTGTAATCTGTGCTGAAATCCACACTGTAGGAAAAGCAGTAGACTCATGCCTTTGAGTCATAGCAAAAGTTGAGAGACCCCAAAATGATTCTGGGTTAGAAGCAAGAGGACTCACTCTGCTGTCCTGAGAGCTGGGTGTGTGGATTGGACAGAGGTGTTTTCAGACAATGGGAAGCACTTCTAAGTCTATGTTTAGAAGATAACCAAAAGGAGTTTGAATTTTTGAGTTTGTGATTCCCCAGATCAACAGCTCTGGATCATGGTACTTGTTTATAACATGGTGTATGGTTTTGTTAAAGATGGTAGCACTACCTGAGTGGTTGGCTACCTCTTCGTTGTATCACCTTGCTCTGAGGGAAGAGTTTACAAATGGAGAGAGCTGGGCTCTGCTGCTGCCCTTTCGGTTTTTGTTTTGGTTTTACTTTTTCTTTTTTCTTGGCAGTCTTTTCTCTGTGTAGTCCCGGCTGTCCTGGAACTCACTCTATAGACCAGGCTGGCCTCAAACTCAGAGATCTACCTGCCTCTACCTCCTGAGTGCTGGGATTGTTTTTACTTTTAAAGTGGGTATTATTATTGAGACTAATACAGTACTGCCCACATTGGATGCTGTCTTAGGGTTTTATAACTGTGAAGAGACACCATGACAACTCTTATAAAGAAAAAATGTGTAAGAGGGGAACTGGCTTACAGTTCAAAAGTTAAGTCCACTACCATCATGGCAGAAAGTATGGTGACTTGCAGGCAGACATGGTGCTGGAGAAGGAGCTGAGAGTTTAGGATCCACTCTGTGCTGAGGAACAACAATATAGTCTGACACTTTTGTGAAGTGTAATAAAAATGAGTTCCAGGCTGTGGTGCACAACTTTAGTTCCAGCACTTGGAAGGCAGAGGCAGGTGGATCTCTGAGTTCCAGGATAGCCAGGGTTCTGTAGGGGGGAGACTGTCTCAAAAACAAACAACAAAAACTCTCTCCCGGGTTTGTCCACATGTCGTGATTGTGCAGAATAAACACTCACTCCACTAGTGGGGTGCTTCTTCGAACTGAATGCTGTGTTTGTCACACTCAAGTGTTGGCTTTAATTCTAAATAAAGGTTTCTATTTTACTTTTTTTTTTTATTGATGTTTAAGGTGATCAGGTGCCCTGTGCTGGAGCAGCCTTCTTTGAATCCTGGCAGAAATAGTGTCACCTCCCTGGCTCAAATCCAATAAAGTGATCTCGCTCAGAGAAAAAAAAAAAAGTATTCCTAGAAACAACATGCAAGCCAGGCAATCCCAGTACTTAAAAGACTGAGGCAGGAAGATCATGACCTGGAGACCAACCTGGGCTACACAGGGAGCCAAGGCTATCCTATGCATACTAAGGCCCTGTTTCAGAGCCAGGCAGTGGTGGTACATATATTTAATTCCAGCACTCAGTGGGCAGAGGCAGGCGGATATCTGTGAATTCAAAGCTAACGAGGTCTATAGAGTGAGTTCCAGGACAGCCAGGGCTACACAGAGAAACCCTGTCTCGAAAACAAAAACAAATCCAAAAAAAAAATAACAAAACCTAAAACACACGTTTCGAGTTCTGCCCACTCTTAGCCAAGCCCCGCTGTTTTTGGTTTTTGTTAGCTATGACAGATATGAAAGTAGTCAGATTAGTCAAAGCCTCTTTGTTTTTCCTCCATCTCTTCTCACATCAGGCAGCACACTCTTGACCATCCCTTCATGGTCCACGCTGGGTGGCAGGGCACCAGGTGACATCAGGACTGTAGACGGCTGTGGGTCTAAGATAGAAGGAGCACTGGGAACAAAAACCAGAGTGGGAACCAAGACAATTCAATTTCAAACAAGAAACAAATACTTTGTATAAAAGAAGCAATCATCCTGCATATATATATATATATATATGGTAATAAGTCCTGCACCTTAGCAAATGACTCGCTTGTTAATCATTGGTTTTCCAGAAGGAAGGTCTGCTGACTCCGTGCCCAAATTACCCAAGCGCTTGCAAACAGTGTGTTCCAGACAGGCAAAGTTAGCCTTTCCACAGCAGGCACGGGCTTACATGTTAAAGTGTTCCTTCCTTCCTGTGCAAGTCTAGTACAGAAATAACTCGTCAAGGGTGTGTGTGTGTGTGTGTGTGTGTCTGTCTGTCTGTCTGCCATAGCACGTGTGTGCAGGGTCAGTTCTCTCCTTCCACATGTGGGTCCCAAGGATTGAACTCAAGCCGTCAGCATTGGTGGCCCCTTTACCTGTAGAATCGTGTCTCCTGCCTAGTGTATGTTTTAAGAAAATGATGAAATGAAGCAATGAACTAAACTGTAATTTTTTCTCTAGTTATATCAGAGGAAGAAAATGAACTCGGGCTCTTTTTAAAGTTCCAAGCAGAACGGGACACCACTCAAGCTGGTAAAATGATGGACGCGGCTGGCAAGGCTCTGTGCTCCTCAGCCAAGCAAAGGTTCACCCGGCTTTTCCTCCTCCTTCACTGTAGTCGCATCTGCTTCTGACCTGTGTGCTCAGTTCCCATAGTTAGCAAAGAGAGCTTGTAATAAGGCATTCACGAGAAATGTGTTTGGGGAGATATATTTTCTGCCTAGCTTTTAATTATTCACTTGCACTCAAAAGAATTACTTAAAAATTAATGCTCTTCGTTGCCTGATCCCTAAAAGCAGCATTGAGAGCTACATTTCTATTTCTCACATGGTTTACTATAGTAGAGTCACAGAAGGGTTAATATTTAAAATGTGTCTGTTTTTTCCCTTTCTGTTTTCTGTGATGCTGACAGTCACCCCAGGGCCTCGTGCAGCCTAGTGGACACAGGACCCTTGCACTACACCTTCCTCAAGTCACTTAAAAAAAAATACCTATTATGTGTACAATATTCTGTCTGTGTGTATGCCTGCAGACCAGAAGAGGGCACCAGACCTCATTACAGATGGTTGTGAGCCACCATGTGGTTGCCGGGAATTGAACTCAGGACCTTTGGAAGAGCAGGCAATGCTCTTATCCTCTGAGCCATCTCTCCAGCCCCTGAAGTCACTTTTGATGACATATACTATCTATGATTAAATTGAAACTTTTTAAATTTTTTTTATTTTTTTATTTTTTTGGAAAGGTCGCTATGTATCCCAGGCTAGCCTTGAACTAATAAATACTCATCTTCCTCTGCCTCCCCATGTGCTGGGATTAAAGACCTGTCCCACCAAACCCAGCCTGGTTTTTTTTTCTTTCCTAACTACATGCTTTCTACTTATTTCATAGTGTTTAGCATAAAGATCTGTATTACAAAGACTTATCTCATACACACACACATTCTCTAGATACAGCTCAAATCCTTGTAATACAGAAAGACTGAGAACACTGACCTCATCGGGTTCTGCAGTGTGATGTCTGGCCCAACTTTATTCTGCAGTGCCGTATTAGTGCAGAAAATCTCCTTAAAAGAATTGAGCCCATGGGCCCCGGGCGTCTAGTGCCACTGTATTGAAAGCAGCCTTAGCGTAGCTGGGTTTGATCTGTGCTCCTCACACACCTGTGTTCCTGTCCTCACTCAGCTGTCAAGAATTGTATCCTCTGGGACTGGAGAGATGGCTCAGTGGTTAAGAGCATTGCCTGCTCTTCCAAAGGTCCTGAGTTCAATTCCCGGGAACCACATGGTGGCTCACAACCATCTGGAATGAGGTCTGGTGCCCTCTTCTGGCTTGCAGACATACANGGTGCCCTCTTCTGGCTTGCAGACATACAGACAGAATATTGTATACATAATAAATAAATAAATATTTTTAAAAAATCGTATCCTCCTTAGTTCTCCTAGCATTTTAATATAACCTTTAAAGCCCTGCTTCTCCCTATACTTGCCAACTGAGCACTCTGTGAGGAGTCCTTTGTGGTCTCAGAACTCTTTTTAGATGGTAGCGTGCCTGCTGGATTATTTATCTGGATCAACACCCGCAATGCTACCAAGTTATGTTTCCTAAAGTTAAAAGGGGTGGACCTGTAGAAACATCTCTCCTAGTAACTCAGTCTTCTAGGCATGCTTGTGACTCATCAGCGTGGTAAATACATGTTGCGATGTGTCTAGAATTTTGTTTACAGATGTGCAATCCTCTGATCTTTACCTCTCTACTATTAGATTGGCCTTGTGCACTCCCCTGTCTCGTCTTAAGCAAGAAGTAGCAACGTTCAGCCAGAGGGCCGTTTCTGACACTTTGATGACCATTAATCGCATGGAGCGGGCTCGCACAGAATACAGAGGAGCCCTGCTGTGGATGAAGGATGCATCCCAGGAGCTCGACCCAGACACCTTAAAACAAATGGAAAAGTTTAGAAAAGTAAGAAAATGTATCCCTTTCCTTTCTTTTAGTTTTGTCCATGTCTTTTATGTACGTGGGAGCTTCTGTTTGAGTGTCTGCACACACGGAAGAGGGCACTGGATCCCATTAGAGATGGCTGTGAGGCCCCCGGAAGAGCAGAACAGCCATCTCTCCAGCCCTCCTTTTCTTGACACTAACATAGAGGCCTAATACAGAATAATTTAACCGTGATAATAAAATATTCGCCTTTTTTTTTTTTAAATAAGATCTCATTGTGTAACCCAGGCTGGGCAGGAATGCACACTCCTGCCTGGTTTCCCGAGGGCTGAGATTACAGGTGCACACAACTGCACACGACAGGGGGGTGGTGATGGTGGTGGTGGTGTGTTCTCAGCTGTACATGGTGACGTAACTCTAGCAAGCACAGCTCACTGACTCCTGAGCAGTCCCGTGAAGTAAGTGCGTGCTCCTCCTGCAGCCAGAGCAGCCTCTAGTCCTGCTCCCTTGTAACCCTTGACGACAGCATTTAGTTCCGGAGAGCACTGAGAAAGCACTGGAGCACTGAGTTCCGTATTTCCAGACTGTCACATGTACATAAAACAAAACAAAGGTACAGATCCCTGTCTGGCCCTTCATCCCCACACAGCTTTCCGACACTTGACTCCTCTCGCCCCCAAGAGTCTTGGTGCAGCTGCCACCTCCTTCCTGTGCAAACTTTACCCCAGCTCGCCCAGGGCCTTCCGGGTGGTTTAGTGGTCATCCAAATTCTGTTCATGTCTTCAGTTTCCAGGCTGAGAGTCCCTCCTGCAGTGATTTCCCTTTTCTCTGCCCCTCCCTGCCTGACAGCGGTGAGGGGAACACGTTTTGTTTGTCACCAAAGCTCAGTTCCCAGAATGGTGCTTCATATACTGGACAACTTGTAAATATTAGTTAAGTCAATGAATAAACATTTCAAAGTCAGTGTTTATGTTGTCCAATGACATTTATTAAGAAACAATTTAAATCTATAAATACCTCAATGATTTAGAAATACTAATGCCTCCCAACATTTGACCATGTCTTCTACTTCTTCTAAATTTATTACGTATTATTTATTGTTTGTGAAATGCACATATATCACTAGAATATGCTTGTCCCTAAAACTTTTTATTACATTTATTCATTTATGTTGTGTGTGTGAGAAGACATGCCACAGCATACATGTCATTGACAGAGGACACCTGGGAGTTGGTTCTCTGCTTCTACCGTGTGGGTCCCAAGGACCAAACTCAGGTCACCAGGCTTGGTGGCAAGTGCCTTTGCCCACTGAGCCACCTCCTTAGCCCTTCCAGATTTTGCTTCTACTCTTACTATATACAGTACATATCCTAAACATCTCAAACATCTATTTTTATCTGTTTTCCTCTTAACCAAATGGTTTTCCAACATTTAGCTATCGGATGCCAGTGAAATGAGTCCGAGGGTTAGGGTGCCCACCTCCAAGTCTGACAACTTGAATTCCATCCTCAGAATTCACATGATCAAAGGAGACAACCAACTCCCACATGCTGTTCCTCCACACACACATGCCCCCTGCTACACAAACGAGTAAATACTTAAAAGATAAATAGAAGAAAGAATCACCTACAATTGTCAAAAAATAGCTAAAGTCTCTCTCACTAATCCTGGAATGATAATGACAGAGAAAGGAACTGTTACAACCCCATGTGTCTGGAGAAATTAATTTCGGGCCCATTAGATTTGGTACTGGTAATAATGGACTTTTTTGTGATTGCAGGTACAGATCCAAGTGAAAAACAGCAAAGGTTCTTTTGACAAGTTAAAGATGGATGTCTGTCAGAAAGTGGATCTGCTGGGAGCCAGTCGCTGCAATATGCTGTCTCATTCTCTGACTACTTACCAGGTACCCGCCCTCCACGGTCAGCACGTTCTCGCAGGAGAGAAGTCATGAGATTCCTTTTTACAGGTTGTCTAATGGTGCAAGAAATTCCACGTCATTGGGCAGGTTCCCAATGTTGTAAATTAGACAGAGAACAACCATAAGGCTCTGACAGAGAGAGACTTAGAGACTGTTTATATACTCTAGCTTCACACTGTCCTCTTTGGAGTCCTAGCAGAGTGAAAGACTTAGACTTTCCGAGGTCAAAAGGGCGCATGGTAAGCCAGGCAGTGGTGGCGCAAGTCTTTAATCCCAGCACTCGGGAGGTAGAGGCAGACCAGTCTCTGAGTTAGTGACCAGCCTGGTCTATAAATTGAGTTCCAGGACAGCCGGGGCCACACAGAGAAACCCTGTCTAAAAAAAAAAGAAATAAAATTAAAATTTAAAAAAATGTAAAAAAAATGGAAAAGAAAGAAGAAATGGTGAGGAGATGAAATTTAAGGCTCATAAACTCTGGTTACGTACACTTTTGTTTGAGGCAGTGATGCTGAAGGGGCAGCCAGGTAATCTCAGCATTCCAGAGCACAGGCAGGAGCACTGAGGGTTCACGTCCAGACTCGTTGTCACCAAACTAAACAAAAAAGCAAAAAGAACACCATAGTCCAAAAAGTTTGAAAACTTTTGTATCAAGTAATAAAGAAAATGAAGCAAGGTTCATTTTCTGAGCTCAAGCCTTTAATTCCAGGAGGCAGAGGCAGGGGAATCTCTGTGAGTTTGCAGCTAACCTGGTCCACAAAGCAAATTCTAGGGCACCCAGAGCTGTTACACAGAGAAACCCTGTCTCAACAAACCTAAATAAATAAACAGATAGATAAATAAAATGAAACCAATGACAATTAAGTAAATGATAATTTGGGCTTAAAAACCTAAGTTAGCCCAGTCGAGATCATGTACTCTTTTGATCTACCATCCTATGTGACTAAATTATCAAGTCTCACCTGTAGCAGAATTTTCCTTAGGCTGCCAATCAGCTCCCAAATAAAGACAGAGACTTATTATTAATTATGAAGGCTTGGCCTTAGTTTAGGCTTGCTCCACCTGCTCCTTTAACTTAACCTCTTTCTATTCATCTACGTCTTTTTGGAGCTTTTACCTTTTATTCTGTATGTCCTGCTTTTCTTGCTTCCATGTCTGTCTGTCTGGCCCCTGCCATCTCTTTTTTTCTTTCTTCCCCTGAGCCTAACCTCCTCCTACTTACTCTCCCTGCCCAGAAGTCCCACCTATATCTCTTCCCTTGCTATTGGTCATTGTGCTTTTTATTAGACCAATCAGGTGACATAGACAGGCAAGGTTGTTAAACAAATGCAACACATCTTTACATAGTTAAACACATATTATCAACATAAACAAATGTAACACATCTTTGGTTAAGCAAATATTCTGCATCATAAACAAATACAAGACATATTTACATAATTAAACAAATATCCACAGCATAAACAAATGCAACACATCTTTACATAAACAGATGCAACCCATCTTTGCATATTTAAACAAATACTCTGACATAAACAAATGCAACACATCTTTGCATTGTTTTTTTTTAATATTTATTTATTTATTATGTATACAATATTCTGTCTGTGTGTATGCCTGGCAGGCCAAAAGAGGGCACCAGACCTTATTACAGATGGTTCTGAGCCACCATGTGGTTGCTGGGAATTGAACTCAGGACCTTTGGAAGAGTAGGCAATGCTCTTTCTTAACCTCTGAGCCATCTCTCCAACACCCATCTTTGCATTGTTAAACAAATACCCCAACGTGCACTTATGTTGCCCTAAAGTCATGTGAATAATCTACAATGAATACTAGCTGTTCACAAGTAGTAGTTGCTGAGGTTGCTGTGAATTTGAAAACAGCAAGTAGAAACTGTATTTGAATAAGGAAGGACTAGTGGAAGGAGGTGGTTATTCATTGCTGTCTTAAACACTATGCTTAACTCAGTTTAGTACTATGGAATTCAAGACTCAAAAGATGAGAAGAAATGAAAGCCATGACGATCTGTAGTTCAACAGCTAATAGCTCGGTGCTTCTCTGTTCTCGCTATTCAGCCTTTGTCTTGGGACAGGAATCTTGAAGCAACAAGAAAGATTACAAATTACCTGAGTTAGCTAAGTAACACATTTTGAGGGGTTAAGTATTTCTTGAGCCCCCTTAATGAAAGGCCAAATTCAGTAGGAAATATTTTCTGTAATGAAAAGATTCTTGTAGGGCAGTGGTGGCACATGCCTTTAATACTAGCCCTCAGGAGACAGAGGCAGGTGGATCTCCGAGTTCTAGACCAGCCTGGTCTATACAGCTAGTTCCAGGCCAGTCAGGGTTACATAGTAAGACCCTGTCTCAAAATCTCAAGGTCCAAATCAGGAGCAGAAGGAGAGAGAGCACGAGCAAGGAACTCAGGACCTCGAGGGGTGCACCCACACACTGAGACAATGGGGATGTTCTATCGGGAACTCACCAAGGCCAACTGGCCTGGATCTGAAAAAGCCTGGGATAAAACCAGACTCGCTTAACATAGTGGACAATGAGGACTACTGAGAACTCAAGAACAATGGCAATGGGTTTTTGTTCCTACTGCAC